GGCCTCCGTGTGCCCAGCACTCTCCACACAGCCTCTCCCTTATCTACACACAGCCTTGCCCCCTCCTCACCATGCAGAGCAGAGCGGTAGGAGGCCTGCCCAGGGGCCCCAGCGAGTTGATGGAGGAGCCAGGACTTGTCTAAACCTGTGTGGCCTGCGGAGGCCTGGGCATTGCCTCTGAGCACAGAGATGTTCTCAGGCTGCAAGGCTGACTTGTTCTGCCCTGAGTGGGGACAGAGGAGCCTGGGAGGGGCAGACTGAGGACCCTTTTGTCCCCCTTCTGCCTTGTGGATCTCAGTGTGGTCTCCAGACCCAGCTGGGGACTTGCTAGAAATGCCCCAGACCCACTGACCCAGAACCCGTGGGGGCAGGCCCTCCCTGTGATCCTGCTGCATGTTGGACAGAACCACCACTGCAGGCCTTTCTGCTTTGGGCCACGGTGTGCGCTCAGCTTCTGCCTACTTATGCCCCTCCCCCCAGGGATGGGTGACAGCAGAGGGAGAGAGCCCAGGGTGGTGATCTTCAGGACCCACTATCTAGCTTGGACCTGCTGTGGACAGTCTACTGCTTCACCTGATGAGCCCAGGGGAAGAGTAATCCCATTAATAAATCATCCCTCATCTGCTAAGTGGGTATAATGGTCCCCACTCACCATGCAGGGCTGTGAGGATTAAGTGAGATAATGCATGTGTGGGTGCAGAGGGCATTCGGTCATCATCATTTGAAGGCCAATTATCAACACGGGTCTAACAGCCCTTTGTCCGACAGATAATTGCCCTAACTTGGCATTTATGACCCAGTGTGCCAGCCCCCGACTGACTCTGCTGGCTGGGGAAGTCAGGAAGCCTGGCCTGTCTTCCTGACGGGGCTGCCCCCCCCTTCTTCCTGCGTTTCCCCACCCTCCCACCCAGGGTGTGTGCAGCCCAAGAGCGCACACCCTGTAGCACAGAGTTTGGGGGCCTCTGCTCCCACTAGGGAGGCACACCTGGCATGGCGGGTGTCGCACCGCGGGTTTGGTGGATGTCTACAGGAGGAAACGTGGCACGAGCGCTGAATGACCTGCCAGTAGGTCGGGGTAGGGGTGCGGATGGAGGAGCCTGGAGCTGCTGGGACAGGAAGGGGGCGCAGGGAGGGAAGGAGGTGAGTGTCCCGGCCTGGGCGGGGTGCATATCGGGTGTGCATTTTCCCCTTGCTGCTCCGGGGCTCAGAGGCCGGGCAGGACAAGGGGTGCCAGGCCCCATTTTTCAGCGGTGACCTGCGGGCTATAGCCGGCCAGGCCTCCAGGCCTTGAACCCGGCTCTGCCCCCACGCACAGGCGGGGTTGGGGCTGGAGCGGCTGTTCCCCCCCAACCCCAACCGGTGCCCCCACATACACACCAATTTGCTCAGGACTGGCCTCTTCCCCTGCCCCACGTCATGGCTTTGCTCTCAGGAGCTCGGGAGATTCACATGGGGGCTTTCAGAGCATAGCTCTCACAGGCTCAAAGGATCAGTTAAACTGGAGGCTGCCAGGGAGTGGGCAGTTTCTGCACCATCCGCGGGCCTGACACCCATCCTGTTGTCCACAGGGACTAGGCGCCTCTGGGGGAAGGAAGTCAGGGACAACTCCAGGGCTCCCCTATGGGCAGCTGGTCCTTGAAGGCAGGAGGGTCGGGGAAGACCCAGTCTCAGTTGTGCACTGTGAGTCCTGGGGCAAGCCACTTCCCTCTCTGAGTCTTAGCATCTGAGACTGTACCAGAAACAGAGGTTAACAGCCCCTGTCCCCAAACCAACTGATTGCCCTGGTCCCCGCTGGGGAGGATGAGAAGTGTGACTTCCTGCCCCTCACACCCTCTACCCAGAGCCTGCAGCTCCATCCAGGGTTAGCAGCATGTCTCATGTGTCCAGTCCAAATCCCAGCCAGCCTCTGTGACCCTGGGCAGTGCTCTCCCTCTGTCTGGTGTCCTCCTCTATAGAATGGGATAATAACATACCATCCTCATAGGCTGTCCATGTGGGCTAGGCAAAGCTCCCAGCCAGTGCCTAGGACACAGGAAGCATATGCAAGCTCCGCTAGAATCACGGTGTATCCAGAACATCTCTATGCTATACAAATGTACATTCGCATAAAGGGGAACATATTTTAAACTGTTACACAAAGGTGGCTCATGATAGTCACTGCGCATATACCAACACCTCCTGGAGAGGGATTTGTCACCATCTCTGTGCACAGGAGCTGCAGCTTAGTGGGGTGAAGCTGTGGTGGTGGTGAAGCATGTGGCAAGACCTGAGGTATATCCTAGGCTGGCCAGCTGGGTCCTGCCCTCTGCTTCTGGCAGTGGGTGAGTCCTTAGGAGGCTCTAGAGCAGCGGTTCTCAACCTGTGGGTCACGACCCCTTTGGGGGTCGAACAACCCTTTCACAGGGGTCGCCTAAGATCATCGGAAAACAAAAAGATATTTACATGACGATTCATAACAGTAGCAAAATTACAGTTATAGAGTAGCAACGAAAATAATTTTATGGTTGGGGGTCACCACAACATGAGG